GTTATGTATGAGATTTTTCGTATTATTTTTGGGCAATCAAAGTAACTCTAGGATACATATATCGAACTGATGTTGTAATAACATCCCTTAATAAAATAAAGGACGATTTTCTCCTGCACTTTTTTTGGATCAGCACATACATCTTCGAATATAGGCACTGTACCTCTATTTGAAGAAAATGAATCCACTTTAGAGATTTTATCAGGTTTTATTGCTTGAAATGTGATATCTTCACAATATGGTTTGTACTATTTGCAAGTATTTAATAACCAGATTTGAGATACAAGTATTTTAGCTTCTTAAGATTATGGCCGATGAGTAGTAAATTATTACACTTGATATAGTACGTTCCTCCTTTCTTCCCATAAACATTTGACAAAGCTTATTTCTGAGCATGAGATTGAGAACCTCATTAGTTTTTCCTGAATTAGTAAAGTGAAAGGCTATTGGAAAATACTCAAATGTCTGTTATATTTTTTGGCATCTTTAATCTCATTGATGTGATATACGAGCCTATCAACTGGCTCAAATTTATTTATTTTCATATCAAATGGAGTATTATTAATGATGTATTAAAAATAATCCCTTTAATTCTTCACCTCTTTCAAGAATCCTTTCTCAATTAGAGTATATCTAATATAGGATAGGAGATCACATGTATAGGAAACTTCAATAAGACAAATACCTTGCCTCTTGCATATATCCTGCTTCTTCTGATTTCATGATTTTTGTTCCTCCAAATCTATATTACCTCTTCTATAGAACATTGAATTAAGAGTATAATGTTGCTGACCATGGAATTCGAATGCTAGTTGTAGTTCTTTATTATATCAAACAAGTTGCATTCTATTTAAAAATGATGGTCTATAGGATAAGAATTTTTTGTTCAGCAGATCCTCGAAAATATATTATACATTTCTTTCAGTAGTATAATGATAAAGAGGGCACCATTCGAATTTTTTCACAATATATTTTAGTGGATACTCCCATTGGTGTTTACCATTCTTACAAAACCAAAGATATACATTATGTTCATTTATCTTTCCAGTCTTTCCTAAACATTGACCACCATGTCTTTGAGCATAACCAATGACTTAGTTTAACTCACTATTGATAGGAGAAACATGAACGAAATTTACAGATAATATACTTTGAGGTAGATACCTAACTTTTTCTGGATCAACTATTAATATGAGTTCTTCTTATACAAACTCATGAGATAGTGCAAATTCTCTGTCATTGAGATAATAAAGCACAAGTTCATTTTTAGATACTACTATTTTTCAGACTTTATGAAGACTTGGCGACTATATAGGATCAGTTATACGTAAGGTTGCTAGGTGAAATCAAGAGTTTAGATAGACATCTAAATGGTAAAAGTAAAACTTGGTTAAATTATATTAAAACTTTATTAAAAAATCTGCGAAATTTAGAAAAAGGTAAACTATATCAAAGCTTATAAAAATGGTGAAACTATATCAAACACTTAGTAAAAATTTAGCGAAACTAAAAGTTTAACCATTTTGCCAAATCCAAAATGAGTTTAGACAAGCAACCTTAGTTATATGCCTTTGATTCTTCATACCCCCTTCCCATTCTGCATTAGCAAAAAGATAGCGAATAGTATCACCTTTCTTTAAGATTTCTTCATTCTCTCCAACAAGACGCTTGGAATTTATAGATGCTCTAGACCAGTGTGTAAAATCTATGTGCACAATGTGCACATGTGCACATTAATTTTTTGTGTGCACATATTACACAACATAAAATGTGCACAAATTATTACTAAAAATAGATAAATTATGTACAAAAAAGGTAATTTTACATAAGAAAATGTTATGATTTTCTTATTTTAGTAATAATTAATCAACTTGTGCACATAAATTTTAATTTAGATTTTATACACTGCTCTAGACTCAATCTTTTCTAATAAAATGACTACTAAAGACGCTAATCCTATTTTAAAGAATCTGGTGATATGTGAGATATTATTCAGGTAATTGATAGCTTTCGGTAAATGCCTAATCCATGCTCTTATTTGTCTTGAATCAGAAGATATAGACTCAACGACGTACTGGATCTTATATAGAATTTTCGAGAGTATCTAATTGAAATGCTCTACAATTGCAATTCCACGATGACTATATAGGCTAATTATTCAAATTATTATATTATGCTTTTATATTAGATAGGAAGTTTCTCCTATTTATTCTCTTCCATTATCATATTGTAGAAGCTTTAGTCATGTCAATGGATTATTTTGACTCTTATATATTCTCCTAAATACCTTAGCAACTTTATGGGTACTCTTTAACCTAAGTGGAACTGAAGCTTTAAATCTTAAGATGCAGTTTACTATATTAAGTACCACTTTATAAGTCTTACCTCTATAATAGTTATGGGTCTGAAATAATATATCACATTGATGAACACAATTTGGTCATGTTATTCGCTCATAGCTGAATCTGGGAACATGCTTAAAAGGACACATAAAAATCTGGTATGATTCTTATTGATTCAACCACTCATTTACAGCTTGAAGTCTGAATCAATACCCCTCTTTTTTATATACATTTCTTAGGAATTTAGGATTAGAAAAATATCCAGTAGGTTAATAATATATCTTTCATAAAATAAGATTCTGATATATACAGTCAAAGCTCGTTATAGTGAATCTCGTTATAGTAAAATCACGTTATAGTGAATTATTTTTAATTCACCAAATCAATTTTTTATAATAAATTTCTCTCGATATAGTGAACTCTTAATAAAATCTCATTATAGTGAACAAAAATGATTAGAACCAAGAGTTCACTATAAAGAGCTTTGACTGTACTATGAGCCTTATCAGGATCTATTTGGATTATAGGGATCCTTACTTCTTTACTCATCCTTTTCTCGTATCTCAAAAAGATAGAACTATCTATAAAAAAAGAAGATAAAACAGCGCTGATGTCTGAAAATGAAGTATATGAGAGTTGGATACAATTCCTAAAGCATGATTTATATCATAGTGAGCTAGAGATATCTCGATTATATAGAATAAAAGAGATCTTAGAGCGGGAGATATCTGATCTTAAAAGCCAGATAATGGCATTAGAGATAAAAATCTATAATCTGAAAAAGATTGCAGAGTGTAGATTGCTATTTATAACTTTTTGAGAAGATCAGATATCAGAAGAATTATCTAAGCTTTATGAAGAGATATTTTGGCTAAAAAATAGGATTAGTGATCTTATCATAGCCTCATCGAGTAATACACTTGGTCCTAGAGGAACCCTTTTAATACTATTAATAAGAGATTTTTCATCGTTCTCATCATCTTCATCACCAGATATCAACCTTTATCAAGCAATATAGCTTCTGATTCATCAGGTGCATCAGGAATACAAGATCATATATATAGAATAGATGAATGTGGAAAAATTAATTATCATGCTACTATCTGGATAAACCGTTTAAAATGAGTAGAATGTACAGCTGATAATGAAATAAATTTATGCAGAGTTCAGGATTGGTTAAAAAATCTTGAAGACAATCTTTTACAAGCTGAAAGAATATTAGCTGAGTGTGATAGAGAATTACAAAATACTCGAAATACTTTGAAAGATACAGAAACCCTAAATAGAATATTACAAGAAGACCTTGCTAGAATAACAGAAAAGCCTAGATTACTTTCTGGTGGCTCTTCTAGTAAGAGAGTTTCTATTGGAATATTACAAGAAGAATTTGATTGATCTATTGGCCATTATCACAATTTGAATGAGTAACTTGATGATGATTTATCGGCTAGTATTCCATCTTTAATACTGCTTCCAATAGAGTCAGAAGAAAACTTATCTCCTCAAGAGGTTCGCTGATTATTAGAGAAAGAGAATGAGAAAACTTTAAAGGCTTATAGGTCTTACTAATACTGCAGAAAAAAGGGTTTAAGAATTGACACGAGTCATATATAGTGAAAGTCCTTCTCCTTCTCCTGAAATGTCAAGTTCTCATTAGAATTTGATGATGAGATTTTAGGCAATTTAGGGGATATTACAGATAGGGATGAAGATTCTATATTAGATTTCCCATTCTATGATGAAGATATAGGAGCTATTAATGATCGGCTAGAAGAGGAGAAAGCTAGATTACTTCAAGAAAATACTTATCTTATTTTTATTTCTTGATTTCAGATTTGCAAGGCTAGGACAGCACAAGATTTATGGGTTAATACAAGGAGAGATAATTAACAACTGAAAGCTCAACTGCATGAATGTTAAGATGATAGGGGGGTACTAGAATATAATTGAAATTGGCTTTTTGATAAATATGAGAAGTGGAAAAATAAGACACATAAAGAACATCAAATAATATTTAATTTACAAAGAAAAATTTTGGCATTACAGAATAACCCTCCTAATATACAACATATAGGTATGGCAGGATATATATTACCAAGTTTTAGTGGAAATTATGATGAAAATATCAACTATTTTATCAATGAATTTAGAAGGTATTTAACTGCTTCTGAAAATAATTTGGCAAATAATGCAGATAGGATCAGCATATTAGGCTTTTTTAAGTCATGCTTAAAAAGGTAAAGTGGGTAAATGACTTGAAAGAGAAATAGCGGTAAAAATTGGAAATTATCTAATATTATTTATACTGTAAATTGTACTTTGGCACAATTACAAGATGATGGACAAGGACTAATCATAAGACATTTATTATCTACAGCACCAGTTGGACTTAATGCATAACTTGTGGCGACCGATGCTAGTGCTGGTGCTTTAGTGATTCCTAGACATACAGTTTTCAATAAAAATTGAATACTAGCAGAAAGTAAGTTAATATCTAAAGTTGTGTATACACCAAATACAAATTTGGCAAATAGAACAGTTGTATTAGCTGACATTACCCTTGGGCAATTAATTGATTACTTTAAAGGAAATTATCCTACAATTAGACAACAATATAATTAAGCATTATTTGGTATAACAGTGCAAGGAAGTGATTCTATGGGTTTTTATTATACCAAACTCAAGAAGATTGCAAGATATGCTAATATGAGAGATAATGAATTTCACCATAGATTTCTTGAGGGACTTTCTTCAGAAAATCAAATAGAAGCTCGCCGTATGAGACTTAATAGACCTATTGATGAAATATTTTCATCTTTAGAAAAAATTGAGAGATATAAAGCTAAATTACTCTCTGGTGCCAATCTTCTTTTACAATCCTAGCAATACATACAATCTCAATCATATCTATCGATCGAGATTGAGAAACTAAATTCTCAAATTGCATCTTTACAAGCACAAATAGCTCAAACAAACCAGATGCGCTCTTAGAATATTCAGAAGCCTTTAGAAAAAGGAGTTAAAGTTTTTATATGTGCTTACAGAACATTTAGACGCACCTCTAAGTTTACTTAAAATATATAATAGTTCAGCTCTTAATAGTTATATTAATAAGAAATTAGAAAGAAGGTTAGGAACTAATGATGTCTTTCATGTTAATGCTAAGCTTTTTAAAAACTCACCTTTTTTAGATCCTCAAATTTTCGCAGTCAAGAAATTATCTTAGCATAAAAGTGGCTGTAAATCTATCTGCAAATCTTCTAAAACAAAGCAACAAAAGAAATCAAAGAAGAAGAAAAAATCTAAAAGTGGCCGAGTTTATATAGCTAAAGTAGACGACAAATCAGATTCAGATTCTTCTAATAATGATACTTCTTTATCAGAATCTGAGAATGCTCTTCTAACTCTGAGAGTTCTTCTTCTGAATCAGAGTCTGAGGCTGATGCTGATACTTAAATTAATAATATATCTTGGGTAAAAAAAAGTGATAACACTATTACCTTCTCAAAGAAGAAGAAATCAAAGACTCGTAAATCTCATAAGGTAAAAGATACAGAAATACCTCCTTTAGCATCAGTTCCTATTTCCAAGAAGAAAAAGCATAGTTTAAAGACCTTAATACAGGATGAACAATCCTGCTTAGAAAAAATTATTGAAATAATTATTGAGAAGGTGTTTAATGAAAAGTTTGACACTATTACAACCCTTTATCACTCGCAAAATGGTGATTCTAAAACACCGGCCAATTCTGAGAATAATGAGTTTATCAATAGTTCTATGGAGATCGACTTTGTCTAAAGAAAAGAATCCACCACAGATATTGTAATGATAAAACAATCAAAGTTAAAAATTAATACAAAAAAAACATGATCTTAGAGACATTGCTACTACTTCCACAGAATCTCTCAGAATTGTTAGAAATGTCCCAGTAAATTTCACATTCGGGTGTACTATATATGCTGATTTTGCTGTAATTAAGTATCCTAAACTGATGCTAATTTTACCTAATACACTTCTCGATAAATATAATTATGATTTGCTTGCATCAAAGTGGGAGTTGAAACTAGAGTGTAATGATAAGGAATTTTTTATTCTAATCAATATGCATATGATCAAGAATAAGTTTGAGGTGAATTGTGCAAATATTAGAATTTCGCAAGACTTGCAGGACTTAAGTGAGGACGATAATGTATTAAACAAAACACATAAATTATGAGGATATGGTAATTCATATAAAAGAACTTGAGAAAAAGCTTTCCAATACTATCAAGTTTAATGCGGAAATCAATGAGTTTTGTGAAAGTCTTCTTAGGAAATAGGTAAGTTATTTTCAGGATAACGCTTCTTTTTACATCTATAATTTTTGTACTTTTTTCGATCATCTTCTTATAGGATACATCCAAATTTACATTATTTGTATCCTTTTTTGAAGTCTAGATTGGCTGAGTCTGAATACTAAATAATTCAGAAATCTGAAAAGACTTCGATTTCTTTTTTCCAATTTTTTTCATCTTACTGTCTAAAATAATACTCCTTATTGAAGCCAAATCAGTAGATTTACTAGGTTCTATCTTACCATCATATATTTGTTTTTCCAATTCTGTAAACGAAGAAACATCTTGATTTTGGATCTCAGGCTCAGTCTGCCTACACATAACATTTTTATTAAAAAGCAAAGCTGTTGGCATATAAATTAGTTGATTTCATATAACCCTATTTTTTTCTTCACCTCTTCAGATCTGATAAATACGTTTTTGTAATGTGCGATATTTATCTGTTAAATCCTTTAAAACTTCATCTTTAGGCTTTTTTTCAGCACATTGAATAATAAAATTGTAATCAGTTGGTGGAAAAGGAGAGGCATCACATCTCATGTGTCACTTAAGCATAGTAGCAATATTTTTTTATATCTAATATAATATTCTGAAATAATTTATTAAATAAGATATACAGGAAAAATGTATATTTTCGAATATATAAGATATATAAGATATACAAGAAGAATATATTTTAGATAAATAGGATATACAGAGTGTACAGAATGTACAGGAAAAACATATTTTAGATAAATGGGATATACAGGATATACAGGATGTATAGAAAGAATATATTATTCTGAATATACAGAATAAATGTATTATCTTGGAATTTTATTCGTATATTTTTTTCCTACTATATAACTATGCCAATATTATGTCTAATATGCATACACTGAAAGATATAAAAAATAGAGGACATCAGTTAGGTAGTACATATGAGCAAGAGTTCGAAAAAAAATTAAGATCCGCTATTGATTTTAACTCTGAAATTATTAACTTTAACGAAAAGTTGCAAGCTGAAAATTCAGAGTATTCAGGATGAGAAAAGAAATATTAGCAGTTCTACGCTGATATTGGGAATAAGGTTAGCTAGCTAAATAGTGCAAATACTAAGCTTACATCTTAAATTACTTATGAATGGATGTCACATATTGAGCTTCAAGCCAAATATTCTAATAAAATCAAATCGCTCAAATCCAATATTAAAACACTAAAGAGAGAGGCAACTTTGGCACAAAAAGCTTCATTCACTAACAAGATCAAAATCCTTTCTCTTGAAGCTAATGTAGTTGAATTAGAAGGTAAGTTGGGAGATTTGGAGGTATCCCATGATTTAGATGTAATGGGAGGGATGAAAAAGGAGCTGGCTCAAATAAACTTATCTGATCCTAAAGAGAACGATTCTCTCAAACTTGAATTGAAACAGGCAAAGAATGACTTATCCTCAAAAGATTATGCGATAAAATGCATATAGAATTATCACATTATATATTCAAATGGGAAATAGACATTCGGTCTTCAGAGAAATTAAAATTAATGGAAGAAAATAAATCCTTCAGGGACCAGTTAGTGATTAGAATGATAATAAAGTAGATCTTTCACTTCTACCTATGAATGAATTATCGCAACTTTCTAATCCTAATTCTTTCCCATTCCAAATAATTTCTGTGGGTGATGCAAAAGCAGTTCTAGCTATTCCTATTGTTACAGACCTTTGTTGAAGTATATCGGTTATCCCATTATCGAATTTTATCACAATATCATTGCGTGATGGGATACTAAATAAAGACTCAGTGTCATTGTAGCGGGCGAACATTGGGCTAAATCCAATGTGATTAGTTTGGTCAGAAATAATTGGGGTATATATATTGTCAGTTTGAAAGGAATTATAACTTTATATAAATCAGAAATGTTTAATTATTTTTTATCCATTGAAAAAAGAAGTAATAGCAAACTTAGATGGCAAAATGCAAAAGAAGGTTAGATGAATTATTGCATCAAAATGTAATCTTCTTCAGATATATTATATAAAAAATTAGAAGAAGACTACACTTTCTAGGTATATACTTGGATGTGATATAAAGGTTAAATCTTAATAGTTGCAAAAGGAGGCATATAGCATAGTTAGCAAAGGATCAGGAATAAAAAAATTCTTAATAGATACTAGTTTAGGGTATTCTTCTTTGTATTCATTATATAAAATATTGGAAGAAGAATACTCTAATACTAGTATATATCTGAGTATGGTATTAGCCTTCGAAGTATACCAAAAAAAGATGTAAAAGAGACATATAATAAAATGGTAAAAAAATGAGAATAAGCACGTTTTCAATAGGCAAATATAAGGGTAGCCTTCTGTGTAATCTATTATATAAATATTAGCAGAAGGCTACCCTATCACTAGTATGTACTCAGATGTGGTATGAAGATTTCTGCAGAATTATATTATATAAAAATGGCAGAAGCCTTCATCTGAACTTAGTGAGCAAATCATAAAAGAAAGGCATCTAGTTGTATCTGAAAAACAGCAGAAGGCTTTATATCACTAGTATATATCTTGATATAGGTATTTGGGGTAGCCTTCTTTATAATCTTTATATAAAATAATAGAAGAAGGTTACCCTTAAAGCTCTGCATGAACTGGCTCGAGCTGGCTCACATCGGCTCGAGCTGAGCTGAATTATTTTAGCTCACAAGCTGGCTTAGCTCGAGTCGAAAATGTGGCAAGCTGAGCCAGCTCGCGAGCCAAACAAGCTAGTTCATATGGCTTACATTATTAACAAAAATCTGAAAAAAAATTTCAGAGTAATTGAAAAGTTCTGAAAAGCGATTTCCTTCAAGAGAATCGTTTCTGAAATGTTTCCTTCAAGAGAAACGTCTCCAAATTGATTCTTTTGAAGTGAAAACGCTTCTAGAACATTTTCTTTAAAAATTACATTTCTGGAGTGTCATTCTTTAAGAATTACGCTTCAAAAGCGCCATTCTTTAAGAAATTCGCTACTGGAGCGCTTTTCTTTAAGAATTTCACTTCCGGAGCGTTGTTCTTTAAGAAATTCTCTTCTGGAGCGCTTTTCTTTAAGAATTTTGCTTGCAGAGCGTTATTCTTTAAAAATTTTGCTTTCAGAGCATTATTCTTTAAGAATTTCACTTTCAGAGCGTTATTCTTTAAGAATTTCGCTTTTAGTGTGTTATTCTTTAAGAATTTCACTCCAGAAGTATTTTTCTTTTAGAATTACGTTCCAGAGCATTTTTCTTTAAGAATTACGCTCTAGGAGCATTTTTTCTTTTAGAATTTCACTCCTGAAGCGTTTTTTCTTTAAGAATTGCGCTCCCAGAGCGTTTTTTTAAGAATTTCACTCCCTAAGTGTTTTTCTTTAGAATTACGCTCCAGAGCGTCTTTTTTTAGGAAATTCACTTTCAGAGCGTTTTTCTTTAAGAAATACGCTACTGAAGCATTTTTCTATAAAAACTATGCTTCTGGAGCATTTTTCTATAAGAACTATGCTTCTGGAATGTTTTTCTTTAAGAAATATGCTTCTGAAACATTTTTCTATAAGAACTACGCTTCCGGAGCATTTTTCTTTAAAAAATATGCTACTGAGCGTTTTTCTTTAAGAATTTTGCTTCCAGAACGTTTTCTTTTAAGAAATCTGCTTTACTGTTCAATTTTAATTTAACATTTTAACATTATGTCTAAAGTTCTTCTCAATAATTTGTCTTAGCTTTCCAACCTTATTAAACTATAATAAATTTATCATTTTCAATTTGTTATAACTAGTAATTACTTAAATATTATTATTTTTATTATTAAACTTGAATCTTATATGATATTTTAAAGGATTTGAATGAATTTATCTTTTATATAATTTTCTAACCTGTTACAGCTTTAGTATATTTTATATAATAATGTATAAGTAAAAAATTCAAGAATCAAGGATTAGGTTTAAGTAAAAAGGTGTAATATTATACAAAAATAATACACCAGAGATTTAAATTAATATAGTATCAGGGAGAACAGCAAGCAAATGCTATTTTAAAATTTATAAATTTAATTGACATCATTTGAGATCATTCTATATTTATTTAACATTCAATAATTTAAAATTTGCTGATCATTAAAATAACCCAAAATAAAATTTATAGGTTCGCCAATTAAAACTAAAATCATTTTATATAAAGCAATGATTATACATCGCGCACGTTTTTATAGCTTACGTATCTTCACGATAATCGGAGATGTCATTATGATCATTGCAAAAATGTCGTACAAAGTCCTCGGCGATTTACCTATAACGAGTAAACCTTTATAAACGAAAAAATGCGCAGCAATTCGTTGATCCTTAATAAAAATGTACCAGTAAAGTTACAACAAACCTGCCGGGAAAGCTTCCGTTCCGGGTCCTCCTCCGATGCTTAAAGATTTATAATTTCGGCCTGGATTACAAATTAAAAACGTTTGTGTCATTTTTTACCGATTGGCAAAGTTGATCAAATTCTTTGGAAACCGTTATTCGTCATTTGCGACGGCAATCCCAAATATTTCGATTAAACCTTTCATGAGAATTAATCCTTATGCAACCTAAATAGTTTAGATTTATTAGTTAAAATTAAAGAATTAATTTAAATAAATTATGCAGGAGATTCATAAAAAAAAAAATTTTAAAATAACAAATAAAATATTTAAAGAATAAAAAATAAAATTATATTCGTAAATAATTTTTCCGTCGTTAATCTATGTTTGATACGCATAAAATATGGATAAAATTGTTATCGTGCAGCAAAATTGACATATTTGACGTTCTAAAAAAAAAAATTACAATGATAATCTGATATCATTTAGTAATTTTCTTTTAAAAAAAAAAGAAGAAATAAAAGAAATAGATCGTTATTATTATGGAGTACAGAAATCGGATTTATTTATTGCGGAGGGGCAAATATTGATTGTGGAGTACAGGAAAAAATTTTTTCATATAGATAATATAGATTGATTTGAATTGTGATTATCCTTCGTACTATGATGTTGTGGTAATGTTTCTTTGCCCAAGTGCTCACGAGACACGTAACATATTATGAGAGCATGCATTTGCCGCGGTAGATATATTTATTTGAACGAGAGTTTAAAATTTTATTATTATACACAACGATCAGCGAAACAAAACTCAATACACGTAAATGGATTTAAGTGTAATAATGTTTAATGAAAAAAAAAAATTTTTTTTAATGTGACCATTATCATATTGTACAACGCATATTTTTTCATTCAAACCGCAATATATTGTCCGTATTGCAATAGTTATACAAACTTAAAAGGACTTTATTGATGTCATGACATTCAAAAAGGTTTATATTGTTTGATAAAGTTCTAAAGAGATGAGATGGTTTGAGAGAAAAAAAAATTTTTTTTCTTTGTGCATACATAACGATAATGATATTCCTTCAAAAATGCAGACATGGATTTGGATTGCAAAAAAGAATTCCAAATCCATCAAGAGAATTTTCATGAGCAAGTGGATGCATTGACACAAGTGATATACAGAAATTGAAAAGCCGTAGTATATAATATTAAAAAACGAACTTATTGAAATGAATGAAGACATATTGTCCCATTGTCTTTTGGGCTTCTAATTTAGTCCTTATTAAATTTCTATTCTAATATACAGTTTAAATTTTGCATCATTATATTCTAACTGTAAATGATTTAAAATGCATGTTCAAAAGGCGGGAAAGTAAAATTCATTGGTCAAACCATGAAGTGATGATGATACACACCCGCCAAAATGT